AGGCCACTGTTAACTCTACGAGTCATGTACTGAAGGTTTGTTAACTCGGGTACTCCGTACCCATGTGTGGAATACACCAGGTGTAAACCCGTGTAACCCCGTTACAGCAGATCCAAGAGGTCATTCTATAACTTGGTGTTGCGGAAGCGGTAGCGACCAAATTCGATTGTTGCTTGACCTTTCTTCACAAAACGCACTTTCGTAGAAGTTCCATCGAATCGGGAAGTTGCGAGATACCAGAAGTTGTCGTGTTAGCGACTAACCCTGGGCAAACAACATTGCGTGTTGCACCACTGCCGAACATGATGACGACAGGATTCCCATCACAAGTCCCTAGTTTACCAATGAGTTCGTTCTCTCAATGCATGGCGACAAGGTGGATGTGGATATCTCTTCCACTTCAACAACACCAACCTCGTCATCCGAACGTGTCGGTGAGGAACGATCATTAGCAGCAGTCGTAGATGGAGAAGAAGAATTAAAGTTCGCGGCAGATTGCTCGTGACGATTCTGTCGAGCATACTTCTCCTTGTTCTTCAGCTTGAAACACTGCTCAATAACATGACCAGATTTATTGCAATAGTGACATCACTTACGAGACGATGACGAAGAAACGGGGCGGCGGTTTCTAGCACTCTTGAAATCAATTTCTGTCAATGATGCGTCCTAATTGGTGACATAGCGTACAAGTTATTGTACAAAATGTCTTACCACACAAAATATGTTCTGTACCCAACCCTGGATAAGCCAATTGCATAACCTTTTAGAGGAAATCTAAATCAATCGTGCCCAGGAAACGATGAAGACAAACATATAATTTTCAATCACAACTCTTTTTTCTCTCATCTACTCAAGCTCCTCCACTTCATCACCTCCACTTCAACAATTTCCATTGGCTCGGATTCGTTCTTCAGAACGCGCGTAGGTGCAGCTTGCTGTTGATGCTGATTGTAGTTGGAATGAGAGCCTGATCAGTCCTGTGAAATGAATGATGGTGGACGGTAGTTCTTTCCACGGACATGATGAGATCGATCACGATCTTCGTTGCCTGCGACATTGTCGTACAGCGGCGATACTGAACCTCTTCATGCGTAGGACTCACAAGTCCACGCGTGAAATAGGTGATCTTGTCCAACTCACTCATGTCTGTCACTTGCATGATGGCTTCACGAAAGCGGGAGACAAAATTTTCCAAGCTAGAGCAATTCCTCTGCTCGAGCGCGTACAGTTGATGACGCAAGCGCTTTTGCAAATCCAAAGGGACAAATTCATTGGTCAACTTGGCCACGAGGTCCTCCATGTCCTTGATATCACCCATATTCAGCTTGTACCAAGCGGCAGCATTTCCCTTAAAGTTCGCAGTAGTGATGGTGTGACAGGCCACTGTCACACAGGTGCCACCGCGAGTGCGCGGTGGCCAATTAGAGCACAGTATAAGTTTAACGTTGGGACCCCAATCCAACGCAGAGTCAATTTTACCTACTTCCTCACAAGCAACACTGTACGCTTGGTAACGGGTGTCACTTAGCCCGTTACAGATGGCCAAAATTCATGAACTTTGGTTGTCGTCTTGCCAGACAATATTTTTGGCCTCAACGTATTGAGTAAGTTGCTCGAAGTACAAATCTACAGATTCTCTCATTTTGCCATGAAATTGTGGCAAACGGATACCTTCCACTTTCACGTCACGCTTATTCATGACTTCAAACAGCTGTTCCTGCTTGTCGACCATTTCTACAAGTTTCTGAGTGATAGTCTCATTGGACCATCCTTGCGGATTTAAAGAAATCATAATTGACTAAGAAAAAATCACTTAAGAGTTAACTAAAAGCGAGGAATCTTAGAGACGCGCTCGAGCCGCTTGAAACATTTAATTTGAAGTTCCAGATTCGTCAAAGCGCCGAAAATTGCTATTCGCACTTCTCTACGCGGTCGCGAAATCCCGGGTCTTGAATGGCTTCAAGAGCCGGGGTGAAAAAGCTGCCGTGAGCTGCGTACAGTTCGTTGAGGTTACCACGAAAACCACGACAAAGATTGTTTAATGACTTCGGAGAGGATTGGCGTTACTTCGTCGTCAAAAAAGTCGAACGCTTTGTCCACCTTGCGTTTACTCATGCACTAATTCAACCGGCGACGTTCAACCTCAGGTTCGGACCGACAAGTAACGTAATCAAGGAGTTCCGATCCAAGTACATGCAGAGGAACTATGGCTGGTCGACTAGTCGAACCAGTAGCAAATCCGATAGCTTTTGCTAGACGTTCCTGGCGCGGTGATCGATAGCGCCCGGAATTAGAATTAGATTTAGGAGAACTTCACAAAACGGAAGTGCCGGTCGATACTGAACGCAAATGTGTTGCGTAAAGACTCGGCAGCCTGGGCGTGCTCGGGCTTGCCGAAAAGATCAGCAATAGTGTGACGGAACGGATAGTCAAGTACGTTCCTTGCGCTTGGTCATACGCGGGGCGGCGACAGGGAGTGCAGGTACTGACGATTCGGTTCATATAGACCAGACGTTAGCACAGTACTCACGGAATCAACGATGACGCTGATCAGACACGCGACGGAAAACAGCCGAAAATCCGGCACACGCTCAGCGAGCGGCTTTCCGAGTGTCGAAATAGCGAAGAGACGACCTGTCAAGGATCACATCCTCATACCTCATGGTATAAATAAAACTGTCAAAATGCATATAGGAGTAATTACCTACGAGGGTTAATTCCTGTAAAAAGACCACGCCTTTTATGAACATACCGGTATGGAACCAATAATACCGAGGTTATTAGTTCTTCGGTTTCGTAAAACTCGAATCGACCCCAAAAAATACCGGGTTTAAAGGATCGGTTGGCGTTTCAAAAACAATTCTGAGCCTAAAAGTGAAACTCCAACCTAGTAGGGTCACCGTTTCGCACGTGCCGGATCTTTGTGAGTGACCCACGATAGTTTACTACCCATACTAGCTAGAACACGAACCTTTTCAATAAAGCCGCACTGTGTGAACTCGTTTCTCTAGGCACATCGATGTATCTAACCGTCGTGCGTCCCTTAGCGAGGGCTTCCCAGCCGTGATGAATCCAGATTTCTTTTACTCATTTTCCGATTTTCCTCCACGTTTCAACTCACCCTCTTACCCACTCGCCCTTACATCCTACCAACATGCGTTCATGGTTCGCTCGAGCCAACATTGGCACCGAGCATGACCAAAGTCGTCGTCGACTAGATGACCCCAGGCCACGGACGGAGCAAGAAGTATCTAACCCAGGCGGAAATTGTGAAGCTACGCAGAGCTATGTACCAGCATCGCCAACGGACTAACCCGCTCGTACCACATCCCTCGACCGATGCGCCACACCCTCGTCAAACCACAGAGTATGTGGAACCGGAGCTCCATGGATCGTATGAACACACGTCTAGTTTGGGAGAGGCTTCACACAATCTCTCCTGGCCGGTGGAACTTATCCGTCAGCCGCCGATCTCGACAAGTGTCCCTGTCGTCGTTCAAGACGCGATAAAGAACTATAAACCTCCACCGGGGTTTCAACTAGTAATCCCTAAGGCAGGTGAGCGCTCAATCAGTGATCGATCACGAGCTGCTGCTTCACCTTGAAGATGAACATGCTCTGTTAACGCTTTTATCTGTGACTCACATGCTCTCGATAGATGCGTGTAGCGCTCTTGAGACTCACTTTCAGCTTTCTCCAGTGCAACTTGAAGTGTTTGCCGTAGGGTTGAAGACTCCCCAGCTATTTCTTGCTGCGATCGGTGTAGTTGGGCTTGCAGCAGATGCTGAATTCTTTTCTCGGATGCTTCAGTAGCGTGTACTACCTGCTGGTTATTGTGATCAACTAACTGATGCATACGTTGTTCAATCCGTCTCTCCTGCTCGACGACGAGGTTTTGAGTCTCCATTATTGCGTGTCGATTCATATTTTCTTG